GTCAGGACATCCCCCGGCCCCGGGAACAGCGCGGCGCTGCCCGAGGGTCCCGAGAGCGGCTCCAGCTCCCCGGAGCCAGAACCCACCCCGGGCCCGCTCCTGCCGGAGCGACACGGGGCCCGGCCCTGGATGAGACTGGGAATGCAGCAGTAGGTGGTACTGGTGGGTACTGGGGAAGCGCCAGGGCCGGGCAGGGTCCGCTCCCCCTCAGCCCGTGTGCAGCACGGGAGATCAGAGCCCGACTGCTCCGGACCTGCGGGAGGCAACGGGGGGCACTGGATGGCTGTGCCCAGCGAGCCCCCAGTCCGGGGAGGCAGCTGCGGGCACAAAACTGCACTGCAAGAAGACAAAGGCACTACAAAACAGGGACACATTTATTAAAAAAAAAGCAATGATCCCAGCCATGACATCATACAAATATTTACACCCAGAACTGTGAGGGCACCCGAGGGGAGGTGGTGGGGCCAGGTCACACGCAGCTCAGCTCAGTCGATGCTCAGACTCTCCCGGTTCTCCCACAGCCACCTGTGGTACACATTCAACTTGTGGTCCTGTGGCTGCACCTAAGACACAGGGAAAACATCAAGTATTTACTAGAACACCTTAAAATATCTCATGGCTCCAACACTCCGTTGGTTTTCCAGTGCCAGGGGTTCAGTGGGCACAGGTGAGATGCTGAAGGACCCAAAGAGCACCACGCACCTCCTTCCATTCGTTGACACAGAAGATTCTGTAGGAGTCATTGCCGTACTTGCCAATGCCGTGCAGCTCGATGGGATACCGCCACGCCTTGCTCAGGTACTCACCTGTGGGGCAGGGCACAGCACTCAGCACCTGCCCACACAGACCCTGCCCTCACTGCCAGGACACAAGGAGCAACCAGGCAGGACCCTGTGCCACTGTCACATGTCTTCACTCTGGCACATTTCAAATGAAAACCACAAGTTTTATGTGTTTCCTGGTGAATGCAGGCCAGAAATCTCCACAGGTTAATCTTAAAAACCTCTTCAACAAACCACCATAGGAGTTTTAATCATAATCTCTCTCACCATAAAAAAAAATTCTCTTCTGCAGGTTCTGACTATAGAAAATATCAAAATCAGAAAAATCCCAGCTGGAAAGGCAGTCTGCAGGTCACCAGAGCAACCCTGAGCAGAGCCACCCCACAACAGTGCTGCAAGAAGGGCTTGGGGCTCTTCAACAAGTTTCTGGTCTCCTGCAGAACACACCGTGGCTGGCATTTCCTTCCCAGCTCAGACTGGGATCAGCAGCTTTGCTTGTGTGACACCAGTGGATCCCAAATGCTGCACAGAATAACTCACCAACCCACCCAATAGAGAACCCACAGAGCAGCATTTGGATCA